TATTTTTAGCCCTGCGGCGTTGCCGCTTCTAAAGAAAAGAAGCAACAACTTTGTTATTTCAAATGGAACACCTTGTATTTTATTGCATTTTTAGATTCTCCCCGAAGAGCTTTCATCAATGCATCACACTTAGGGTCTAGAAACAGACAAATCCAGCGAGTTCTACTTGAAAAATACCAATTTCAACAATATAAATTCCTTTTTCTTCGCTCCAATTACCGAAACAGATATCACAGAATGTGTTCTGAAGCAGAAACCAAAATTCTCAGCGGGAGCAGACGGCATCTCAATGATATTAATAAAGAAAAATATTGAGTTCCTGAAAGCTCCTCTGATGTTCATATTCAACCTGTCACTTACAGAAGGATACTTCCCCAACTGCTTCAAAACTGCAATTATCGTACCAATCTTTAAAAAAGGCAATAGGAAAGATGTAAATAACTATAGATGTGTCTCACTATTACCGTGTTTTTCAAAGTTATTGGAATGGCTGGTTAATAAACAAATAAACTCATATCTTCAACTACACAATATCCTAACCGAGTCACAGTTTGGCTTCAAACCCGGAGTGAACACCTCAGACGCAACATTCGCCTTGGTTGAACGGATACATCAGACGCTAGAAAACAAAAATCACTGTATTGGAATATTTTGCGACCTCTCCAAGGCGTTTGATTGCGTCGATCACAATCTACTACTCAAAAAGCTGGATTACTATGGGTTTCGTGGCAAAGTACATAGCTGGTTTCACTCGTATCTTCTCCACCGAAGAATGACTGTGAAAATTCCTCACTTCGAAGACAATCAACACTCAAACTACTTATCTGATACTGCTTCACTCAACAGCGGTGTCCCACAGGGATCGGTCCTGGGACCTAGTCTTTTTTTATTATATATTAATGACCTCACATTTAATTTTCCTTCGGTATACTTTTCACTATTCGCAGATGACACGAGCATAATTATCCAGGAAAAAAGTTTGCCGGATCTTCAAAGCAAATCTAAACGTGACATGAACAACATTTATGACTGGTTCGCTGCAAATAAATTATCTTTGAACTTTCTCAAAACTCACTCTATTCTTTTCCAAATGCACAACCAAGCCACGGATTTCCATATTGAAATTGACAAACAATCAATAAGTCCCTCAAAGTCTACAAAATTCCTGGGTATCCACTTGGACAATCATTTGAGGTGGTCCGTCCACATAGAACATTTGAACAGGAATTTGAGTCGGTCATTGTATGCTATTCGAACAATTAAACAAAATTTGAATATTTCTGTCGCCAGATCAGTTTACTTCGCGTATTTCCATTCTCTGATGCAATATGGAATAGAATTCTGGGGAAATGCTGTGGATACAAAGGACATCTTCTTAACCCAAAAGAAAGCTATTCGTACATTGTGCAACTTAACTTACCGAGAGTCATGTAGGGCTTACTTCAAAAAGCTCAATATATCGACCTTATACAATACGTACATCTACAAATTAGCATTGATCATCCATAAAAGAAGAAACGAACTATCAAGACCTCTAGATATCCACCCATATCCAACCAGGAATCAAAAATTCATTTTACCCACGTATAAATACGAAAAAACAAGAAGAGGTCCGCTTTATACTGGTATACAAATTTACAATCATCTACCTGATAATCTAAAATCCCTCTCCATGAACAAATTCAAACGTGAGATGAAAAATTTCTTGAAACAAAATACTTTCTATAGTTTAGAAGAATTCTTCAATTCCTAAAATTGCTTTAACCCCATCGGGGTCCATTGGCGTAGAATATAATCAACATTTTCAATGATTTTCCTCTAGATATAACCTCCCCACTACCTACTATGTAAATATAGGTCTTAGGTTATAATCTAATATTTGCAAATTGTATTTTGTGTTGCAATTATATTATATTCTTCTTTCCCGATGCCTCTGCAGAGGCTGAGATACTCTGGCAAAATCATAAATGTGCTTATACAAAATAATTATGTAAACTTAAAAAATATTTAGCATTTAATATGTAGTATATTACAATTATGTAGTATTTCTGGGAAATAAAACTAAACTAAACTAAACTAAACTAATAGTTTCAGGGATATAAAGTGTTCAAAATCGAGATTTTTCAACTTTAACATTTTTTTGTGTCGAAACTATTCATTATTGGTCAAAACGGCTCTCATGTACCGATCTCAACTTGTGATTTACTATCTACTGACATTTATTTGAAACAAATACAGGGTGGTTCAAGATTCAGAATTCTGATCATGATCATGGAGGATTCATGATAATTAATCTGAATTTGAATGTGTTCCTCTAATGGCACTTGATAATGTGTATATCTCAGAATATTTGGTAGGGCAAGAATTAACCCCACAGGCCCCATTTGTTGAAATTTCCAAAAAAAATCATACCTTTTTCAAGATACACGTGGATGGTAGTTTTTTCCATAAATGTGTTCCTCTGATGGTACTTGATAATATGTATATCTCACAATATTTTGTCGGGCAAGAACTAACCCTACAGGACCCCTTTTTTGGAATTTTCAAGAAGAAAACTTTTTTTTCAAAATATACATGGATGAGAGGTTTTTTAATATGAATGTGTTCCTCTAATGGCACTTGATAATGTGTATATATCTCACAATATTTTGTCGGGCAAGAATTAACCCCACAGGCCCCCTCTTTTAGAATTTCGAAAAAAAAATCACTCTCAAAATACACGTGGATGGGAGATTTTTTTCATGAATGTGTTCCTCTGATGGTACTTAATAATAATAATAATATGGCTTTTATTGCTGCTGCAACACATTTTTACATTATAAATATGTGGAAATAAATGAATATATAGATATACAGGGTGGCCCACGGTCGATGGTACCTTAAACGTATACGGAAAACGGTACATTGGATTATCCTGAAAATTTGGTTACTGTAATAAGCGTTTGTGATCTAACGATTCAAAATATTTTCAGCGAAGCAGCGTTATTTCAAATGGAACACCCTGTATCTCATTGCGTTTTTAGATTCTTCTCGAAGAGCTGATTTCATCAATGTATATTACTTGGGGTCTAGCAGGAATTATTACAGAGATATAGGTTGTTCAAAATCGAGATTTTTCAATTTCAGGAATTTTTTGTGTCGAAACTATTCATTATCGATCAAAACGACTTACATGTCCCTATCTTAACTTTTGATTCACTATCTACTGACATTTAATTGAAACAGATACAGGGTGATCAAAATTCTGAATCTTGGACCATCCTGTATTTTTTCCAATTAAATGTCGGTAGATAGTTAATCGAAAGTTAATATAGGGACATGTAAGCCGTTTTGACCAATGATGAATAGTTTCGACACAAAAAAATCCTAAAGTTGAAAAATCTCGATTTTGAACACCCTATATCTCTGTAATAATTCCTGCTAGACCCCAAGTGTGATGCATTGATGAAATCAGCTCTTCGAGAAGAATCTAAAAACGCAATAAAATACAGGGTGTTCCATTTGAAATAACAAAGATG